AGTAGCTGACACGTTGTAATGACCAGGCAGTTCAATTTTATAGGCATTATCATTAATCTTCCTGAGCACCCGGAAAGGACAATCAGCACGGGGCTTCAACTTCCCAAAACGACCGGATGGAAAACATTATTTTCTCAAATGAATCCAAACCAAATCACCCTCCTTGTAGACAACTTGCTTCCTATGCTTGTTTGCTCGATTTTGATACGTCGTATTATGTTTAATGATTTCATCACGAACCTTTTGATGGAGAGTTTTGATCTGATGTGATTGATTTTCCGCCTCAACACTAACATGGTCAACCAGGGGAATAGGTGTCAAATCAAGCGGAGTAAGGGGGTTTCGACCGTATACGACCATGAACAGGCTCAACCCAGTAGTGCGGTTCGTGGAACGGTTATAGACAAACTGAGCAAGGGTTAAATCCCATTACTTGGGGTTATCACCAATAAGACTCCGTAAAAGATTCCCCAAACTCCAGTTTGTAACTTCGGTTTGGCCATCCGTTTGCGGATGGTGAGAGCTACTAAATTGCAGCTTAGAACCCATACTTTTCCAAAGAGTCCGCCAAAAATGACTCACGAATTTAACATCCCGATCCGAGGTGATGGTCTTTGGAACTCCATGAAGCTTGACAATTTTAGAAAAATACAATCTTGCAATTTGGCTCGCATCATAAGTCTTAGCATAGGGTATAAAATGAGTCATTTTTGAAAATATGTCAACAACAACCATCACGGATCTTTTTGTCTTTGAGTTCGAGGTAAACCTAGGACAAAATCCAAACTAACATCCTCCCACGGGGCAACGGGAACAGGCAACGGTGTATATAGGCCAGCATTAATGTGGTGGGTTTTGGCCACATGGCACACACGACATCAAGCAATTATACGAGCAACATCACGCTCCATCTTGGGCAAAAAAAAAACGACCGTGGATTAAGTCCAAGGTTTTATCCCTGCCAAAGTGACCCGCAAGACCTCCACCACGGCTTTCATTGATAATTGAGTCCCGTAACGAGCTCACGGGGACGCACAACCGAGCACCCTTAAAGAGGTAACCATCGTGTCTTGAGAAGTCGTGAAGGGGCTTGTCCTGGCAGCTATTCCAGATGGTTCTAAAATCTGGATCATCCTAGTATAAGTCCCTGAATGAATCAAAACCACAAACCTAGAATTTCGTTTCTGAAAGGAGCACGTGACGTCTACTTAAAGCATCAACAACAGTATTTAACGACCCGACCCTATGTCGAATAACGAAGGAATAAGCTTGCAAGAATTCGACCCAATTGGCATGGCGAGGGTTGAGTTTCTGCTGTCCCTGGACATACTTGAGGGCTTCATGGTCAGAATAGAGAATAAATTCGTTAGCGAGTAAGTAATGTCGCCAATATTCCAAACTACGAACAATGGCATAGAACTCCTTATCATAGGTAGAGTATTTGTGGCGCATTTCATTGAACTTCTCGCTGAAAAAAGCAATCGGCTTTTGATTTTGACTAAGAACACCGCATATACCAAGACCCAAAGCATCGTACTCGACTTGAAACACCTCGTTGAAATTAGGAAAATCCAAAACAGGAGCTTGTGTAACCTTCTGTTTTAATTCTTCAAATGCATTTCCATCTTCTTTAGTCCAAGATAACTTCCCGCCCTTCATACATTCCGTCATAGGGGCAATAATGGTACTAAAATTTAGAATGAAACGCCGGTAGAAGGAGGCTAGCCCATGGAAGCTACGAATATCATGGATCGTAGTGGGTGTAGGCCAGCTCGTAATAGCTTCAACCTTGGAATTATCCATCTGAATCCCATCACCTGAAACTAAGTAGCCAAGAAAGATAATTTCATTAGTTAGGAAATGGCACTTCTTCCCGTCGGCGTACAGTTTCTGCTCCCGCAAGATTGTAAACACCTATCGAAAATGTGACACATGTTGCTCGACACTTTGGCTATAAACTAAATGCCATCGAAGTAAATAACAACAAACTGACCTATGAAAGGTTTAAAAACATGGTTCATCAGCCGCATAAAAGTGCTTGGTGCATTTGACAACACAAAGGGCATCACCAACCACTCGTACAGTCCGTCGCGTGTCTTAAAGGCGGTTTTCCACTCGTCCCCAGGTCGCATACGAATCTGATGGTACCCGCTCCATAAATCAATCTTGTAGAAAATGTCGACCCATGCAACCGATCTATTAAATCATCGAAACGCGGAATAGGGAATCAATATTTAATCATGATTTTATTCACGGCTCTACTATCAATACACATGCGAAAAGGTACCCCCTGTTTTGGAACTAGAAAGGCTGGTACGGCACACAGACTCATACTCTCTCATATTAGTCCTTTGTCGAGTAGCTCGCTGACTTGTCGGTGTAACTCCTCAAACTCTTTTGGGTTCATACGGTAGGCGGGCTTGTTTGGAATAGTGGAACTGGGTAAGAAATCAATGCAGTGTTGTATCTCCCTTATAAGAGGTAGACCAGGTGGAATATCCTCAGGGAAGATGTCCCTAAATTCATCGAGTAATGGTTGGATCAGATCTGGAACAGTTGATGAAAAACCATTTTCCTCTGTTACAACTAAAGCATAAATGGTAGGTTGAGGGATGAGTTTGGTTAACCCAATGGATTCTGTTTTGGAGAGAAACAAGTTGTCACCAGTACTACTATCCCTGGTGTCTAGGGGTGCCAACATTATATTAACTCCATCCTTCTTGAAACTATGTGTTCAAAAAACCATTGTGTTTGGTATTTCGATCATATGGCCAAGGTCTTCCCAATAACACGTGGCACACATCCATGGAAATAACGTCGCACCAGACTTCATCTTCATATTTTTTCCGGATCGAGAACTGAACTAAAAAACGTTTATTTACCTTCACAACATTCCCCTTCTTGAGCCGCGTTAATCGGTATGGTTATGGATGATTTTCCATCTTGAGGCCTAACTTTTCCACCGTTGTTGTTGCCACCATGTTGTCACAGCTGCCCCCATCGATTATGACACTACAAACCTTGCTTTTTGATGTACATTTGGTGCGAAAAATGTTGTTGCGCAACCAAGAACGATCATCTACTGTTTTTCTAAATCAACGTTTAGGGCACGCTGAGTAAATAAAGCATTGCCATGATCAACATACACCACCTCGATCTCCTCCCCATCACTTTCATCCTTCCCTTCAGTATCATAAACCACACCTTGACATTTGAAGCATCGAAAAACACGTGTAGCAGGTGGATTGGGTGCAATACCTGTTGGCGTGTCAATTTTAGAGTTGTTTCCCTTGCTTTGTTGCGTCGATGGTGAACGGGAGGACGACACAAACCTGCTAGCTCCAAGTTTCCCTCTGTTTCTTAACTGTTTTCAACCTTTAAGGCCAAACGACATACATCAACATACGTCCAATATTGTTGAAGGTGAACAATATCAGCAATCTCAGGTTTGAGGGCTCCCAAAAAACGTGCAATAATTTGTTCCTCTTCTTCCTCAACAGAACATCGCATCTAGGGTCGGCTCTACCCTTTGCAAAACTAAGCAAGGGCTTAGGGCCCCCAATTCTAAAGTGCCCTCAATTTTAAAGTTTATTCTGTTATATATGTATATATACGTATTTCTTGGATTATAAAAACAAGTTGGAGCTTGGCCTGGTGGTAGAAGTGCTAGTTTATAAAACTAATGGTCTCAAGTTCAAAATTGTTGGCTTATTTGAAGGGCCCCAAATTTTTTTTTTTTTGCTTAGAGCCCCCAAATTTGTTGAGATGCCCTATTCGCATCCTAAGTCGATCGAACTCAACAATGAAATCTTCAACAGAAGACGCTTTCTGGGCTAAACTATGATGATCTAAGAAGGCTTCTTGATGATGATTTACTGGGAGAAACTTTCCATGTAATAGCTTTTTCATCTTCGACCATGTTTCGATTTTTGATTTATTCTCTTGTTGGCGTTGTTTCTTCACGTGTTCCCACCAAAGTGAAGCAGACTTCATTAGCTTAATGGCTACAAGTTTTACTTTCAAGGCGTCGAGAATATCCTTTAAATCAAAGACCCGTTCTACGGTGCTCAACCAATCTATGAAATCGTCGGGATGTGCTTTCCCATCAAACTCAGGGATCTCTATCTTCATTCCCAAGTTTCGTAAAAGGTCATCATAGTGTTGCCTCTGGGTATTCCGTTGATAAGTTTCATATGCGTTCCTTCCGTGGAAACCCCCACCGAACGGATTCACGTCCCTCTCTTCGTCATCTTGAAGGTTGTGTTCTGATTGAGAATCTTGGTTTTGAGCCTCCTGTTGTATCTCCAATTCCCGAACTCGTTGTAGCCTTTCGATCTCAACATCTCGTGGATCTGGTTGTTCTTCTTTGTTGCCTCTGTCGGCGTATCTACGGGGAGGAGGATCACGTCTACCACGTCCGACCATTTGAGAGATAACTTGTGCTCCGATACCAAATGATGCCAAAAGCTAGCAAAATCAAATGGCCAGAAAATCACAAGGTAGAAGAAACGAGAACAATGAAAGTGTCGATGTTTTATTATCGATAATCAAAAAAATAATAATAATAAACCTCCCCTCAACGTGCTACATGGAAAATACTTATAACCCTGGAAAAAACACAGACAGCTCAACTTTCCTAAAAAATACTCCTAAGATTTAGATTAAAGATATATTCTGTAAACAGATACTATCTTCCACTAAATCTCTTATTATTTTAACATAATTCAAATAGGAAACAAATCAACTAAATAATTGACTAAAACATAAAAAAGTCAGCCAATAGGAGGCTGTGATCGGATGCTCCTGCATCATAAAGTTTCAGTGGTTAAACAAAGAAAAAATTCTTTGATTGGTTACACAAAAAAATATATCCAAACTACAATAGTTTTTATAGAATTTGACCAAATTTCTCATGATTCAGTATTGCTACAGCTTTGTGGTTTAAATAACCAAAAATCAAAATATACTAAAACTAAACCAACCACATAGATGCTGAAAATCCTTGACTATTATAAAACATATTTAAATATCATATCATAGAAGACGAATATAAACATCGACAGAATAATAGTTCAATAAAGTCACATCCAACTAAGTAATAGCAAAAGTGGTAATTTACAAATATCAATCACCAAGGAGACGAATATAAAAGAGTGGACAACATATGGAGTCAAAACTGTAGTGTTATTATTTTGGACACTAGTTAAAACCCAATTGGCCATTTTTTTCATTCCTCAGTGCTATTCGTAGCCTTAACCCTGTGTTGTAACAGTGCATGATGAGATCCAAGAACTGATGAACGTACATTTGCTATCTCCACAAGTGTTTCCAGAGCTGCAACAAACAAGAAACAGTAATTTTTTATATTTTTTTTACAGTGGGAAGTAACAGCAAAAATTTCTTCCAAGTTATTATAAAAATGAAAGTGTGATTTTACCTTTCTCAAATGAAAGTTGAGAAGCCCGAAGCTTAGGAGAAACCAAACCCCCAAACATTGATAGTACTTTCCCTCGTTCTTTTTGAAGCTGTGCATTGAAAGGGTATTTTAGACATTTTCTTTTTCGTATGATTTGATTTTGGCACACAAAGATTCTCCTATTTCCTCATATCATTGAAAGGCGTTTTAGACATTTTTAACTACCACTCAAAATATTCTTGTTAAACTAAAGAGTATGATTTGGTGTAGTTTAACTTTTTAAGAGAAATATTCGATATTAACCAAATGTTTGAAATACCCTTCTTGTGAACTAGAACAAAATCATCACAATAACAATGAAAAAAATAGTAATTTGAGATATAAAATAATATCTGAAAAAAAAAAATCTTGTAATTTTAATCACTCACATGGTTTTCTGTTTTACGTGGTGATGCAATTGTTTCAGATTCATTGCTTTCTTTTGTTGAATCTTTATTGTCAGTGTGTTCTTTCTCAAAAGATGAGTCTTTTTTGTCAGAAGATGTCCATTTGCATAAAGTCAACTGTGGTGACTTTTTCATAGAGCCACCTAAACACAGAAAGAAATTAATCAATTATTTCCTACAATTGTAAACAAGAAAATCTACATAACAATTGTGAACAAAAATTCTAGAGTAACAATAATAAAAAGTTGCAACAATTCAATGTTACCTAATTCACGAAAATTTCAAGCTAAAATGAATTGCTTTTAGTTTAGCATTACAGATTCTTGGAAGAGGTTTAGTTTGTTAAAGGGCATTTTAGACATTTGACTAAATAATCATACATTTCCATAAAATTATGTCAAGTTAACAAAGGAAATATAATCCACCTAAAGTTTACGTATCACCGCATCTGTAAGAATCTTATTGCAATATTCCCAAGTGAAAGAATTTACCATTTTACCCTTGTAAAGATAGGAAGGGGTAAAGAAATACCATTGTCATAATTTACTTCCACTTTTGTAGCAGCAGAGTGTTGTTTAAGGGTAAGCAAAGCACTGTTTACACGTGAACCTCCCATTGAATGTCTAGCACTAGCTAACTCCAGCCATCCCTGCATCTCAATTCACATAAATATCATTAAAAAAAAAAAGAGATACAAATTGTGTATTTATAATATAATTTTTAGATGAGTTAATGGAATAATCAAAACTTGATTGAAAATTTCAAGAATCCAAAACCTGGCGAAGTGTGGAAGTTAATGATTCAATCAAGATGAGATAGTTATCCACTGAATCAAGAAAATTCAATGTGTTTTCATTTTGTTCTTCTATTTCTGTTGTGGATAATTCAGGAACTTGAGTAGTTTCAGCTTCTTTTTCTTCTCCCATGGTGGAAAATCACAAAACTTCTTTTACTGATATTGACAAGTTTGACCCTCCTGCTAATTTTGCCCTGAAACTATCAGATTTGGTTAATTAAACCTTTACATTTATCAGTTTTTGATATTGTCTCTGATCAGTTAAATTGATAAAAATGAAAATTTCAGCTAGGTTTTTGGCATTCTTCATGTCAATTGGCTAAAGAAGAAGAACATATCTAATTACTCAAGATGACTGAAAGACCCCAAATTGTCATCTGAAAGATACAAAAATAAACACAAATTGACTTTAAGTATATGCAAAACAGACAGATGATATAATAGTTAGCAAAAAAAAAACCCTAAATTGGAAATTCCCATATAGCATATGTTTGAATAAACTAGTTGAATCTGAGTAAATGATCATTTTACCCTTCTGTGTACAAAATCATTTACAAAATAACTTATAGAACCATTTATAATGAAGCTTTTATAAACACAAATCAAACCATTTATAGAGAAGCTTTTACAAACAAATACTTTCCATACATAGACATAAACAATTTATCAATCCCATAAGCACAAAATGAAGCTTTGTAAACAAATGAGGGGATGTCAAAATGCAAGCTTTAATATCTGATTATAATGAATAGAATCACAAAAATGAAACCTTTATAAAACCTAGAATTTATCTTCCAATTATAATGATTTAAATTACTTTTTGAGACAACTGAATGTATGTACTTTGCTGTCATCTTCTTTGTCTGAGCAGCCATTGTTGCTTGCAGAGGGATTTATCCTTTTAACTGAAAATCATTATCTAATTATAATGATTTAAGAAGTTATCTGACCATTGTTGCTGTCATTTATTTTAAATCACTCTTCTAATTTTAACTTATCCAAAATCGAACTGAAGCAACTCATCAAAACTAAGCAACAACATGAAAATCGAGTAGTTTACTAATATAGGATGTCTGAATGGCAGGATCTGAATGCTTAAGATCTGAAAAATTAAGAGGTCTGAATTTCTAAGAGGGTTTGAAATCTTAAGATCTGAATTGTTAAATGTTTTTTGGTTGGATCATCTGAATTACAGTGTTGAATGATAAAAATGACCATTTTATCCTTATGTTATTTTTTTATGAATTCAATATTTTTATTTATAAAAATGATATGACCATTTCGGTAAATTCACAACATATTTCAGCCCAAATCAATAAATAGGAACAAATCAGAACAATAAACACATTATCAACAACTAGGAACAAATTTTCATCAATTTATTTCACCCAAAAAACACAAAATCAACAAGGTTCATCAAGGTTCAGCAACAGATTTCAGTCATGAATGAACATATAACCCATCTCAACAAATAAACACAAAATCAGCAACTAAAATATCAGAAAAAAAAAACGAATAGGAGCAATATCTAGAAAAAACGAAGTGCTAAGTGAAGCAAAATCAGAAGGAAAAAAAAAAACAAAAAAAAACGAAGTGGTAGGGCGTCTTGTGAAGAGCAATATCATAAATCAGTCGACAGGAGCACCAAAACGAAGCAAAATCAGAAGAAAAAAAAGAGAGAGGGAGAGAGACGAACCTGTTGTGGATACGGCTGGAGTTGCCGGCAGTGAGGGTGGCGACGGCCGGAGATGGCGCTGGGGAGGGTAGCGGCGACAGTAGATGGCGATGGGAAGGAGATTCGTCGGTGGCGAGGTGGAAACGAGAGTGTACGACGCAAGAGAAAAAATGAACAGCAAAGCGAAGGGTAGAGGGCTACGCGTTTTTTTTTTTTTTTTTCTTTTCAGATGGCCAAGGTATTCAGATTTAGACCAAACATTAAAGGTAGGCAAACGGTTCAGACCTAGCCCATATTAAGACGTGTTCAGATCCAAACAAACAAAGCCTAACATTAAGTCAAAAAGAAAGAGTGAATTATATCTGTCTACATTCAGAGTTGAACTCGCCATTAGTTAAAAAAACACAAAAAAAAAAAAAAAAAAAGTTATTAAATAAGCTTAATGGGTCATGTACTTAATATTGATCGTTATAGATGCATTTTTCTTTTCGAATTAAAACGATTTAATGAGTTAAAGTAAATAAATAAAAAAAAGGAGAGGAAAAAAAAAAAAAAAAAAAAACTAAGTTAATGTATTAAGCTGCAACGCTTGCCCTTTTGCTCCCCTTATTTTTCCTCGCAACTTATCTTGTGTTAAAATTCATAAGTATTGTAAAAGTTGTTTGTTGGAATATATAAAGATAAAATAGGCATTTAGCCTATTCAAACAATTTATTGTCTAGAAAAAAAAATTTATGTGCATCCAATAATTTCTTGGAACATTTGTATGTATTAAGTTACTTAATGAATCTTTATGTAACATAGTAACATTTACTTGTTATTAAGAAGATACATGAGAAAATGCTTAAGAACCCGCACATACGTGTTGACAATTAATTATAGATTCCATTTCATGAGAAGTTTGTGCACAAATTAAGTAAATTGTTATTTTCTCTTAATAAGTGAAACGAGTGGAAAATAGAATCTTAGTGCATAAACTTGAGAGATGGATTTTAATGATCATTTACAAATTCCATATTGGAAGCAACACAACTCTAAATGACTCAAAATGACCAAGTTATGAATATTGGCCAACCAAGTGGTTATAAGAGTACTCATGTCTAGGGGTGCAAAGGAGCCGAGTCGAGCCCGAGCCTGAGCCTGGTTAGGCTTGACTCGGGCTCGTTTAAATTATATGAGGCTCGAGCTTGAGCCCGACTCAATTCGAGCGTTCTTTTACTAAGCTCGGCCCGGTGTCGCAGACCAAGTTTCTGGAAAATTCCACATTCGTCTAGAGAACTCTAGAACGATCAAGTATCCTCGAGAAGTCTCCGGAGAGATCAAGAATACTCTACGAGACCCCGAAAGACGCTAGAAAATTATAGGTGTCCGCGGAACATGATGGAACGATCCGGAATAATCAAGAGGGCACTAGAGGAAGATAGACCAATACGGAAGATCCTAGACCATCGTAGAATCCTCTAGGACACAAAAGAGTAGTATAGAACCTTATAAAATTTTGTATGTAGAATAAGATCTTGTAAGAATGCTCTAGAATACTCGGGAATGTCCGGAACCTAGAAACTTTCCTCGAGGAGGTGTAAGGTTCCTATAAATAGGGAGAAGGGCTCATTTGCCCAAACCATCAAGAATTGTAAAGAAGTTGAGTTATATAATAGAAGCTTTCTTTCGTACTTGAAGTGTCCCTTGTCGTGACTCTTGCTTCCTAAGTTCGTTAGTACATCTAGATCATCGAAGTTAGCATGACTTAGTCGGAGAAGCACTAAGTGGCACACGGTATTGACTAATCTAAAAGAGTCATACCGTGACACCGAGCTCATAAAGAACTATACAGGCTCGGGCTCGAGCTCAACTCATTTTTTGTCTAACATGCCTAAATGAGCTTAAGCTCGGTTCAAGCTCGTTTACTAATACCCTAAATCCCTAATTCCATAAATATTTTTTTTATTTTAATATATAAAAATAATGATAGATTATATTATATATAGGCTCGTTTAGGTTAGCGAGTCTAATCAAGCTTAGTGACATAGGCTCGAGCTCGAGCTCGTTTAATAAACGAGCTTAATATTAAGCTCAAGCTCAGTTCGGGCTCGTTAAAAATTGGTTTCAAGCCGAGCTTTTAACGATTCGATCCCGAGTAGCTCACGATTAGCTTGGTTCGGTTGCACCCCTACGCATGTCCAACAATTTCAAGGGAATACGTTTGTTCATTAGAGAAGTCCCCAAATACAATTAAGTCCGACATTTGTTTTGACAATTGCTATATATATATATATATATATATATATATATATATATACACACACACACTAGGTATAAGACCCATGTATTACATGGGTTAATTAAAAAAATTAAATATAAAGGTTTAAATATTTAAGAACTTTGGATTTATAAAAAAATAAGAAAAGTAATGAATTAATAAAATTGATTTTTTTATATTTTAAATTTTAAATAAATAAACAAAATAAACTAATGAGTTTTAATTTGAGAATTTTGAAATAAGAAGGTAACTCCATTAATGAAATTGATTTTCATTGGTTACTATATTTATTATAATTATTACACTAAAGTATTATGTGAAATTTATTAAACTAGAAAAATCCATAAAATGACATGTGGAAAAGAAATTAATTCAAAATAACCACAAAATGACATTTAGCAAATTGAATGAGAGTGTGACATCGAACTATCAATCTCTCAGCAATCGAATCTTGACCTCAGCAACCCAACTGTCTCGAAACTCAAACATTGACACACCCGAAGAAACACGGACCCTAATCGGATTCTTGTCCAACGGCCACCTACCGTGAAAACACTCATTCTATCCTGAGCATGTGCAACATGCATCATCTCACTCCATACGTTGCCTTGACTACCACATGACCCAGTCTCATATACTCGGGCTGCAGATCCCCATAAACCAAACTTCTATACCGCATCAGATTGAGGATTCTCCCCACATAATACACAATCCCCCCCCCACTTAGGGTTCGAACCATCGCCTATTGACATACCAAACAGACCACACTATAGACTGGCTCACCAGATGTACCATTCCTGACTCATGGAACGTACCACGCAACACTCGATGACCTTCCAGATAATGACCAAATAACTCCAAGTATCCCGAATCTCAGATGAAAACCTCGGAATCCTCCCAATGTGACTACCTCTATTCGCCCAAAACTTCGTACCGACACACCACCGGACATATCGATTGGCCCGAATTAGTTACGACTCTCAACCCTTACCGTCGATATACAACGTAGACAATGAGGGCCACCGCCCTTATATACTCCTATTGATTACCTGGAACTGTTGCTAAAGTATGTCTTACTATAATCACTAAGGCATATCCTTGTCCTTATCCATCTCAGTCCCTTCTGATGACTCCCTCACGGTATAAGAAATACCTCGCAGCTGACATACCACAAAATACTCTGGTGAAAGTATCACAACTATATGCTACCCCACGGGGTTTACCTTCAAACTCTGAAACCGGAAGCTCATTATCCATTTCGCTCTACATGGGAAATGGAAATAGTGTAGTTCTCATCACAGAATGTGACACCTCAACCATCGGTCGATCACTTAACCCAGACTGCGATCCTCCATAAAGCATCATCTCCACTTTTCCCCGAGTCATGCGACTCCAACTGGAACCTCACCAGTCAAACACTTCGGGATCTAACTCAATTTTACTCGCAAGGTACTCCCCTATTGAAGCTCGATCGACATGGCCCTTTGGCCCTACAATCTACCATATCCACTCTCAGTCTGAACAACCACATCGGGATAACTGGTAAAGATGGAAGCACACTCTGCTACAAATCATGGTACCCGAACCACGTTATCTCCCCTCAATTTTCTACTTAGAACCTATGGAATTCTCCCTGTTTTGAGTATGGGTCCTCTTCTTTCAGTAGTACGGGCCCATACTACCTGCCACATCTACCCATACTTTCCACACGGATCGTCCCAGATTTCCTAAGTAGCTGCTCGACCTCCTCGATCACTTATCCCCTTACGCATGCTCGCTCTCCAACGAATACTCACATCTAAACAACGTACTCATCGCACTAAAATTACTCCCTAGGCTCTCCTAGGTTCTCACACTTCCCTGCCATCAGCTGCTGAAGAACTCCTCATGATGCCAGCCATCTACCTCCTCAATATCGTCAAATTCACTTAGTAGCTGACTCCCATCATCAAGAGTTCTACTAAGCAGCATTTGGGCATCAAATATCCTCTACCAGCACATAAAGCCACTCTAGCTTACAACTCCACTCGCTCTATCCACAACTCAAAAGGCATCACCAAACTCAGGCAACCATACCTCTAGTGGGTATCTAACTACTCTCTCAGTAGATTCCTCAAATGCACATCTAGGTATCTCTCCTAGATTACTCCTCTACTTAAAGCTCTCTCTAAAATATTCCTGTTAGGCACTCCTACTCAGCACATACATAGAGCAAATAGCATATAATATCAATCAATAGCATCCCCTAGGCTAAGGCATCATGAATCAGGCAACTCTAGCTCTAAATTCCTGAAACACCTAGCCTATCCTCTAGCATGCAACTTTAATACCTCATAAGTATCTCATAATATCAGCAAATAATGGTATTATGGGAAATCACCGTTCGAGCTCTGGCTGATTGTATACACTACTCCGTCTCGTTTTCTCTTTAAACTCTTACTCGTTTTAGAAAAATCATTTATTTTTAGAAAATTTTCTCAAATCCTCATGTTGAGTCCAGACATACCCAAGAGTACATCTGAGTCCCTCAAACCAAGGCTCTGATACCATCTTGTAACACTATAAATTTTCAAATAAATTTTTCATTTTTAAAATCACATCAACTCAATATCACATTTCCCAAAAACCACAAAATGTATAAGTTTTCAAAACACAAGTCAATAATGTTTAATAAAAACCCAGAATCCTCAAAATCATGATCTCTAACTGGTGTGTACAATCAAGCCGGCGCCTTCCCGCGATCCTGAAAAGTACCTAAAACACATCACACAACACGGTAAGCACGAAGCTTAGTGAGTTCCCCAAAATACCACATACACAAATAATAAGCCTCTCATTGCTATAACTCGGCATGGACCCTCCGGTCATGTGTCTCGGTGAGCACCCTCCAGTCTCATAGCTCGGGTTGGACCCTCCAGTCTTGTATCTCAGTGAAGACCCTTCGGTCTCACAACTCGGTTTGGACCCTCCAGTCCTAACTCAATAAAGCATAGAATAATATAACATATATCACAAAGACAAAATGCATAATATCACATAACTCAATGTAAGCACATAGGACCCTCCGATCGATAACTCAAATAAGACCCTCCGGTCAGACAGTATTACCACTCAGGTAAGTATAGTGAGAAGACTCACCTCAACTGCTACGCGAGAAACCATACACTGTCGTTGCTATTGCGCACTAACTCCTGAACTAGGCCAAAACAACCCAACACTATGATCAAAGATAATACAAGGCTACACCCAACACTATGCCCCATAGATGGCCCAACTAACCACGCCCACTACTGACCCAACTCATGGGGCCCACTAAGGCCCAAGACCAAAAAGGTCCACAAAGGTCCACTAATGACCCAATTTTCCAAATTGGGCCCAAACCCTTGCTTGGGCCTTACCCTAAAGCCCACGACTTAACTTTAATCTAAAACACCTGTTCTTAGATGGCCAAACTAGTCACCAGCAATCGGGCCTAAGAAGATATCCCAAACCGAAGCCCAAATATGCAAACCCACTCAGACAGAGTACGCAGGGTGTACTCAGTGGTACGTTGTGTATACTCGCTTAATGGCTTGTAAGTTCCGCGTACTGGCTTGTACGCCTAGCGTACGTCCCTCTTAAACCCACAT